CAGACAGAAAACCAGCAGTGGAGACCCGTCCTGGAGAGACAGATGAGCTTTTGGGTTTTTCCTCCAAGAGTCATGAAGCTTTCAGCAGAGCTTTAAAAACTTCAGGAAGGACCGGAGACTCATCTAAAGCAGAGAGAGAGAGAGATTCATCAGATCCACCGGTGAGACTATCTTCTCTATTCGCTCTTGAATATCTTTCACAACTGTGAATGTGAGGATGGACATTATGCATATTGTCTTGCTTGATCATCACTCTTTAATTTGTGTAGTTCCTTAATGTAATTCAAAGCAGCACATTCATTTATGTAAAAAGCAGTTGAAGACAGGATTATGAATGAAACTTCAAATATAAACAAGTTTTGTTTTATAGAGCAAGTGCCTTTTTCACAGTATTTCCTATTTAGTAACACGTTACAATAAGGTTCATTAGTTAATTCATTTACTAACATGAACTAATCATGAACAACACATGTACAGCATTTATTAATCATAACTGAACATTTACTAATGCATTATTAACATTCCATGCTTGTTAACATTAATTAATGCACCATGAGTTATCATGATCTAACAATGAACAACTGTATTTTCATTAACTAACGTTAACTAACATGAACAATTACAGTAGTAGATGTATTGTTTATTGTTTGTTTATCTTAGTAAATGCAATAATTAACATTAACTAATGAACCTTATTGTAAAGTGTGACCTCCTATTTTATATATACAGTATATATACAGTATATACACAATATATATATATATATATATATATATATATATATATATATATATATATATATATATATATATATATATATATATATATATATATATATATATATATATATATATATATATATATATATATATATATATATATATATATATATATATATATATATATATATATATATATATATATATATATATATATATATATATATATATATATATATATATATATATATATATATATATATATATATATATATATATATATATATATATATATATATATATATATATATATATATATAAATTTATTTATAATGCGCTTTTCTAAAACCCAAAGCGCTACAACATACAGAGAAATCAAACATGCAATAAAATACAAGTATACATTAAAAAAGGTATAAAATATGAATACAGAATAATCGAGAATCTAAAAATGCAGTGCAGAGAATCTAAAAATTATTTTTTTAGCATCTTCTTAAAAAAAAAAACATATATTTATATATATATATAACTTACATTAGCTGAAGTAAAAAAATAATAATAATTAAAAACTGCTGTGAATAATATTGCTGTCAATATTATTGGCCCCTTTAACATTTATTTTATTTTTTCCGATTGTCTCCGGAACAAACCACTGTTATACAATGAGTTGCCTGATTACCCTAACCTTACCCCAATTAACCTATTTAAGCCCTTAAATGTCAGAATAAACTTGAAGAATATCTAGTAAACTACTAGAAAACTATCATGTGCTGTAATCATGGCAAAAACAAAAGAACTTGCTTGTTAGCTTATTAAAAGTTATTAAAATGTCACGTTTGACATCAGAAATCAGGAGCAAATCAAAATGAAAACAGAAATATTGTTTTAACAAATGATCAAATGTCTATAGGATTGATTGATGAAATGTGTGTATTGAGCATTTTAAAATGTGTAATGAAAATGCATCAATCAAAATATATTATTAGTACTGTTATTTTGTACAGTTTATTATTATTATTAGATATTAACAAACAGTCCAAGTTGAAAAATGCAACAATATATATTAAACCTAACTGAGCACATTCTATGGAAAATCACAGTGATGCCCCTGCAGACTGAACCATCAGGGAATGACTGAACGTAACACCGCGTTATACAAGAAACAAACTCTTAACATATATATTGATTACTGATGTCAAGATCGTAGAGAGTTAATATGCTGATGAAAGTGAATCAAAGACTCTTGTACATATTTAGTGAAGCTCTTATTGTGGTGTTCAGAAAAGGTCTCAGACGTCACTGAACAGGAGCACAAACTCTCTCACAAAAGCCAACGCTGAAGAATGTGCCATTTTTAGAAAGCTCTGGAAAGATTCCCGCAGTGCCACTGAGAGATGTACACTGTACAAAATGCTGGCTTACACACAATAGCTTAATGCTGTCCAAATACAAATATATAAAGTTGAACTTAATCGTTTTTACAAATTTAAGTGGATTGAACATAAAAAATTAAGTTGTCCCAAATAATATATACAAATTATGTTGTTTCAACTCATTTTATATAAGTAGTTTGAACGAAAGTCATTTTTTGAGTGCATTTGTGCTGGACTTTCAGGGGAGTTTTCTGAAAGTTTTCAGTATTAATCTACAGTATATTTAGGAAATTAATACTTTATTCAGCGAGGATGCCTGAAATTGAGAGTGCGAAAAGATATTTGTAAATGTTCCAAAAGATTTCTCCTTCAATTAAAATGCTTTAGGGCTGGCTCAGTGGTTAACACTGTGTCCTTACAGCAAGAAGGTCACTCGTTCGAGCCTCAGCTGGGTCAGTTGGCGTTTCTGTGTGGAGTTTGCATGTTCTCCCCGTGTTGGCGTGGGTTTCCTCCGGGTGCTCCGGTTTCCCCCACAGTCCAAACACATGCGCTATAGGGGAATTGATGAACTAACTTGGCAGTAGTGTGTGTGAATGATTGTGTGTTTCCCAGTATATGGTTGCGACTGGAAAGGCTTCCACTAGGTAAAACATATGCTGTTATAGTTGGCGGTTCATTCCGCAGTGATGACCTCTGATAAACAAGGGACTAAGCCAAAGGACAAAAAAAATGAATAAAATGCTGTTTTTTTTTACTTTCTATTAATCAAATATGATCAAATCGTGATTTTCACAAAAATATTTAGCAGCAAAACTGGTTTAAACATTAATATTAATCCAACACTAAAGAATGAAGAGCTTTATTGTGTTTTATCCTGAACAGTTTATTTCAAGATGTATGATATACTTGTATTTTGTACAGTTTGTTTAAATCTGTCAAATAAATATTTAATTCAATCAAAAAATGTCATATTAGAAGAATTACATATATATATATATAGTTGAAGTCAGAATTATTAGCCCCCCTAAAATATTACTCCCGCAGTTTATTTTTATCACCAATTTCTGTTTAACGGAGGGAATACTTTTCCAACACATTTCTAATCATAATAGTTTTAATAACTCATCTCTAATAACTGATTTATTTTATCTTTGTCATGATGACAGTAAATAATATTAGATATTCTTCAAGACACTTCTATACAGCTTAAAGTGACATTTAAAGGCTTAACTAGGTTAATTAGGTTAACTAGGCAGGTTAGAGTAATTAGGTTACTAGGTAGTTATTGTATAATGATGGTTTGTTCTGTAGACTATAGAAAAAAAAAGCTTAAAGGGGCTAATAATATTGACCTTAAAATGTTTATTTAAAAAAATAAAACCTGCTTTTATTCCAGCCAAAATAAAACAAATAAGACTTTTTCCAGAATAAAAAATATTATCAGACATACTGTGAAAATTTCCGTTTTCTGTTAAACATAATTTGGGAAATATTTAAAAAAGAAAAACAAATACAAAGGGGGGAGGGGGAGGGGGGTGGGGGCCTAATAATTGTGACTTTAAATGTTAGTGTATATACACTGAAAAAAAATGATTTAAAGACGATTCCTTGCATGTACTCAATTTTTTTTACGTTAAGTGGTTGTAAACAATTTATTTGGGCTAAATTTAAACAAACAAATTAAGTTGAACATTATTAAAATTAATTTGTTTAAATTCAACATAAATAAATTGTTTGCAACAGTTCTGCAACACTTTATTCAGTGTGTGTGTGTGTGTGTGTGTGTGTGTGTGTATATATATATATATTGTTGCATTCTCATAAGCTATATTATTATATTATATTATAATATATTATAATATAATTTGTTATATTATAATATATTATTGTATAATAAAATATATAATTTGTTGCATTCTCAGAAGCTTAACCTTTTAATTGTGTAAACAAATGCAGTTCAAAAGGTACAGACTGGTAAGATTTTAAGTTACAAATTTAATGTGACGAGTAAAAACCTTTGTGAAACTATATTGCAATTTAAATTTTATTGTGCTATGCGATTGTATTTTTTAAAAAGTTACATATTTCAGCTTTTGAAGCTGAATTTTCTGCATAATTTCTTTAGTTTTATGCGATCTTTCAGAAATCACTTCCTTGTTCATTGATTTGTTGATCGAGAAACATTTCTCATTACTATCAATGTTTAAAACCTTTATGCTGCTTCATATTGTTGTGCAGACTGTGATGTACATTGTATTATACATTGTACTATTTGTTCTTACCCTTGTAGCAAAGAATTCTGGCCCAGATTTGGCATAAAGCTGGCACAGCAGGCATTCATCCGGCACTGGCATACAGCATGTGGGCCAAACATGGCCCGGGTTTGGCAGAGGTGGCACCGTTTTTAAGGCGGCACACAAGATTTGGGCCAGATGAAAAACGTAGTATTTGGCCCAGATTTAAAAATTTGATAAGTGGGCCATGTGAGTTTGGCCAGTCTCGACCCACATTTAAAATACACTAAAATCAATTTTGAGTAAAGAAAAAAAAATTCTACCAATCAGGTCACTTTGAGAAAAAGCCTGCCCATAGTGTGCCTAAGGCGCATCACTCCATGGGTTTATCAATTTCCTTGCAATCGTGACACACCAACCTATCTGGCCCAGTTCAGGCCCAGTTATGAGTTATTAACTTGGCTGAGACTTGGCCCAGATATGGTCTGTGTTTGGCCCTTGTCTGGAAGCCAGATTTGGTCCAGTCATGTACCGTAATTCACTGCGGCATGTGAGCCAAGCAAAACCTGATTGTGTGGGCCAGAGCTGGGCCAGAGAAATTTTGCTATGTGGGTATACTAAGAAGCTGATTAGAACCTTGATTCTCATTGGCTGACGAGCATTCTGAGGTGTCATTTTCAGATAAACGCACAAATAAAGTAGTCCCGGCAGGTTTTGAGCACATTGTTGTAGACTCTACAGTCAGACTATAGCACATGTTGGTGTCAATCTGAAAACCTCCATTTGCATTTGAGCATCAGACGAGGGGCCGGATGAAAAAGTGTCTTGATTTTAAATTGCAATACCTAGTTCAACCACTGGGTGTCAATCTTACATACTGCACCAATAATTATTTCTTACACACATTTCTTATTTCCTCTGTTTTAGCCATGGATTTGCTCCTCGGAGGTGATCATCAGAACAGCTCATCTGAGTTTCCTGTAAACGCCAGTGTCGTCCAACAGGGGGAGACATACCTGAAGAAGCTTGCACACCTTGATGAATCCCTATACCAGGAGTTTTACACCCTGTGGGTCTTGCTGATGGTGGTCAACACGCTCATGTTTGTGGTCGGAGTGGTGCTCAACAGCCTGGCGCTCTACGTTTTCTGCCAGCACAGTCGTTCCCGATTAACCCCAGCCATTTATACTATAAACCTAGCAGTAGCCGACCTGCTGGTGGCGCTGTCGCTCCCTGCACGCATCGCACTTTATCACAGCGGAGGCGACTGCGTGGCGTGTTTCTACATGCACACTTTTAGCTACTTCGTGAATATGTATTGCAGCATCCTATTTCTGACTAGCATCTGCGTGGATCGCTATATGGCGGTGGTGCGATCGTCGGGCAGTCGTTGGCGCAGTCCGGCGGTGGCGAAAATCGTTAGCATATGTGTGTGGCTTTTCGCAGTTGTCGTCACGTACTCTCTGCAGACTTCAGCTTTGGAGTTTCACCGAGCGTCCTGCTGTCGAGTCGCTGTATTATTCGCCCTCACCGTTTTGGAGTTCGTCCTGCCGCTACTAGTAATCGTAGCATTTACGATTCGAGTAGCATGTGCGCTAGCAGATGGAAAGCTAATGCCGCAGAGCTGGGGTCGCCGAGCACGTGCTGTTCGATTGCTGGTTGCAGTCCTGCTAGTTTTCACCGTGTGTTTTACGCCGTATCATGTGCGCGAGGCGGTGGTGTATTTCCAGCTAGGGGGCAGCAGAGAGCAGCATGTGGTGGCGTATCATGTAACCATCACGCTCAGCAGTCTCAACAGCTGCCTGGATCCTGTGGTTTACTGTTTTGTGCCGGATAGCTATCGCTCTGCGCTGAGGAAAGAGCAGAAGAGGAGATCTGGAGGGCATGCGGTGGCGATTAAAGGAAACAGGAGCAGAAAAGCTGCCGATAAAGCCATCGCTTACAGTGTCACAACTCTTACTCTCACACCCTGCATACTGCCGAGCAGAGACATCACAGCCTGAGATTAAACACACAGAGACGTGGATATCTGAAATATCAGATGTGTATCAAAGAAATAAGAAGCAGCTGTATGCACTGTGTTTTAAGCTACATCTATTGTGTTAGCTAGCTTCAAGAAATGACTGAAGACAAGTCTGCACATCAAAAACCAAAACGTTTTAGGCATGAATACTTTTATGTGCCTTTTTCTTCCACTCCGTGCTTGGTCTAGTCTGATCATGTGATCTAAATTATTACATGACTTCTTAAATTCCATTTCCCATTTTACATTAGACGCGTTCGACTTCATGCAGCGCTGCGCAGATCGATTGAAATCTGTCTTAAAGCGGTGCATGCTGGTTAGAAATTTTGTCCGGATTGATGCTGCGCCGACGGCGCGTGACTGTCACATGTGGCATCAAAGTACCGCAACAGCGCTCCGAGATCAGACGACTGAATCAGACCTTGCAGCATCTGAAGAGCGGCTGAACGAGCTCTGATGACGACATATATTACACGATTGGCCGAGTTCACCACATGACAAGAACCACGAGTGTTTCGGGTTAATTATTGGACAAATTCCGATTTACAAATTTTGAAACAAACAACTTTTGATAGCCTCTCTGTCTTGTACACATCATGCTTATTAAAAGACAGGAATCATGTTTTGTTCAATAATCTGGTTATGAAGCCTTTATTTTACACCTTTTTTATACAGACTATTTACTGCATTCAGCTTCATGAACGATTTAAATGATATATTTTAGTGAATAACCTAAATATTACCTCTAAGTCTTACAGATTTGAAAGAAAACAATTATAATTATTGATCCTGCCACTCTAAAGCTTTCTTAACAAATTTATATATATATTTTTTTATATTTTTTTATAAAAGGATTCTAAAACATATATATATATATATATGTGTGTGTGTGTGTGTGTGTGTGTGTGTGTGTGTGTGTGTGTCCTTTTCTTCAATCTTTTTGGAAAAACTTGCAGGATAAGTTGGCGGTTCATTCCGCTGTGGCGACCCCGGATTAATAAAGGGACTAAGCTGACAAGAAAATTAATGAATGAATGTTTGCAAATGTAATTTTTGATTCTCAAAACTTAATTTTCTCTTTGCAGTTTTTTATTTTTGTTAGCTAAATTAACTTTTATTATAATTTTTGCTTTGTGATTTTGGAGATTTGCTTTTTTTTTTTTTTTTTTTTTGGCTCAATACTTTATTTATTTATTTATTTATTTTTTGCTAAACTTTCTTTTATTTTGCAAGTATATATGACCCTAGATTGACTCCATACTTTTTACAATGTAGATTGTGTCAAACAGCCTAACATAGATGAAGAAAAGAGAATAAAAAACAAAATGTCAAATAATTCCAGAATTTTTTTTATCAGCTAACAAACAATTACACAGCCAGTCAGAATCAAATGTGGATGACCCTGTAAATATCATTAGTGTGAAAAGGAACAAAAGTTATTGTCCCACAGCATTCATTTTTACCAAGAAACTGGTCAAATATGTTTAAATATGTTTTTAAAGTTTTATAAAAATGTAGGCTGAAGCGTGTATTCACAATGCTGATTCCTTTTCTTATTGAACATGAAAGAAGATATGATTTTTTTATTTGCAGGTGCCATTGGGGGTTTTCTCACCTTTCAGTTCCAAACCATATAACTTTTCTATCTTCGCTATCACTGTATATTAAATAATGGCTACTTAATGTCTGTTTTTGTATTATTTTTTCTTTGAAATTAACTGAGAACACTTTTAATAATTAAGTGCATTAATATGTTCCTCTGGTGTATTTTTCCAACTCTTAAAGAATGTCATCAGCTAGAAATGCAGTAGTATACAGGAGTAAACACTGAAGTGACGTACAGTACAGCGTCACAGTGTTATAAATGTCAGCTTTGACGTATAGTGTCTATAGTGTTATAAATGTCAGTTTTACATTGCGTTTTTCATGGTGTACACGGATCTCCTTGTTTATTTTGCTGCACGCTTGATTTAATGTTTGCTGTTTAGCTCGTGTGTTTATGTAAAGACCACACGGAGACACTTCTGCTGACTCTACAACTCTGCATAAACTTACTTTTATCATCTGTTTAAACCACTTGTGTGTTTCTGTCATAACAAATACGACCGATGTCTGCTGAGAACAGAATCTTTCAGTCTGAAGTTAAAGAATGATACGGCTGTGGGGAAATTAAGAGACCACTTGAAAAATCAGAGTTTGTTTGGATGTAATGGATTTATTATGTTTTGGGATGCAGCATAGTGGCTCAGTGGTTAGTACTGAGGCCCCACAGCAAGAATGTTGCTGGTACGAGTACCAGTTGGGCCAGTTTTGCATGTTCCCCCCTATGTAGGTGTGGGTTTCCTCCAGATGCTTCGGTTTCCCCCACAGTCCAAACACATGCGCTATAGGGGAATTGATTAACTAAATTGGCTGTAGTGTATGAGTGCGAATGTGAGAGTGTATGGGTGTTTCCCATTACTGGGTTGTGGCTGGAAGGGCATCCGCTGTGTAAAACATATGCTGGAATAGTTGGCGGTTCATTCCACTGTGGCGACCCCTGATAAATAAAGGACTAAGCCAAAAAGAAAATGAATGAATGAATGTCTTGGGATTTAATAAAATATTATAATTTGATGTTTGTATTTGATGTAACCTTCAGGTCTCATAGTATTTCTTAAAAATGTGAATAACAATTATTTTTATTAAAAAGCATTTTTTTTCATCAGAAAATGAGAGAAAATGAACAGAATAACAAACAGAATAACAAACATTATCATTTGTTGGAACTGAAATCCTACGATTACTCTAAAAAATGTATATACCATAAATGTCTGAAAACATGGCATCATTTCATTTTATGCAAAAATAAGAGCTTTAAATGACAAACTTTTTAAATATAAAACTTTGAATAAATTGAATCTGTTATTTACAAAAAGAAAAAGACAAAATGTGCATATATATATATATATATATATATA